AAAGCAGGGAATTGTCTCAAAGAGTATAAAGAATGGCGCTCCTTTGTGCGGTTTATTCAGGGCATTAATTGTGGGCTCTGGCGGGCGGTGTCGGTTGGCAGATGCGCCGCTATCGGCGCCGAGATCTGCGCGAGCGGGGAGGCCGAGCACAAGGGCTCACATTCAAAAATCATTCGGGGCCGTATTGACACTTCAGTTATCAACAGCCCTTATTATCTGCTCGGCGGCGGATCGCAGCCCGCCGGTGACAGAATAAGCTACAAATCACCGCCGGGGCCTTTTCTGCATTCTCCTAATTGTGTGTATTCTCTGGAAAAAAAAATTATCGCCGGGCCTCTTGTCTTGATGAGAAATTGACATTTTCTGGTGGAGCCTGGCGAGGACTATGTGGGGAGATAAGACTTATAGTTGTTTTAAAGGAGTGCAGCCATTCTTTCAGAGGCCTCTTTATTGCTCTAGTTGACCCACTTGATGAGTATGGATTTCATGAGGTCTTTTTCAGCATTTGAACTATAAAAGGTTCAGAATGACACCACCCCTTATAGACAAAAGATAACCTTGCCCTTTGAATATATTGATTCTTTATTAACTAGGCTGTTTAATGCAATGAAATGAGGCATTAGATTGAAGCCTATTTCAAGTGCTTTGAATAATCTTTAAAAGCTTGAAAGACTTTTAAAAGCTGCTCTGCAATAATTGGCGTGTACTTTTAGAGACTCTTATTCCTTCATTTTGATTAAGGAATTTTTATCATCTTCCTATTTCTAAACTCGCTGTGGGCTGACACAACATATTTCCTCAGCAGGGCTGTTACCCAGATGTGTCGTAGGTGGAGGATTGCTCTAGGAATTGTCATATGTGGGTTTTCTCCTTTTGTATTTTCCTCGCATTGAAAGTTAGAGGAACCATTTAGATGCTCATTATTCAAACCTTTGAAATAAAACTAAAAGGAAAAGCGCCGGTAGGCATCGYGCAGACTTTCATCCCTAAAATACCGGGGATAAAAATCCCTTATTTTTTAGTGGGAATGCATCTGATTATGCCGCCCTTTAAACACGATACACAGACACACAGAGTGGAACAGTTTTCAGTGCATAATAATAATAATAATAATAATAATAATAATAATAATACAAAGTGCTCTGTAGCTTTAACACCTCTTTTCATCCAATTTGTTTTCATCAACCATGAAAGAAAGTGAAGGTGAAGAAAGGAAACACGGTTAAATTTGCTGGTTTTCCTCCTTGTAGGCTGTGACTACAGTGAGTTTCACCTTCCCCTCGCTGCCTCCCTCAGCCAGGGCAGCCAAGGAGGGGCTGGGACACCTTTGGCACCTTTTGTACCCACGTGCACCACTGCAGATATTCCCTTTTTTCTCCTGCCCTCTCGGAGATGTCAGCAGCCCCTCTGATTAATCACCAAACCAAAGTCCACAACAACCCCCTGCTTTCCACCACAGGCACTTCCATTCCTCTGCCAGAGCCCACATTCCTCTAGAAATACCCTTTTTTGGTGGTGAGGATACAGGAGCTCGTTTTGGGATGGGGAACTCAAACCTGTATACGAGGAAAAGCAGCACAGCTCTCTCCAGCTCCGAGTATAAATCTATTTTTGCACCGATTATATGTACATTGCACGTGTTATGGTCCAGAGGATGAAATATTTGTGCTCGGGATTATAATTAACAAAAGCCTTCGCTTCCTTAGCAGCAGTTAAGGGACGAGSACGTCGACCTTCGGTGTCAAACCATCACATGGAAAATTTGGGTTGTGCTTTGTTTAAAATAACTTTTCCTGTTTACAGACTTTTACAATATGATATTAAAATAGTAAAAAAAAAAAAAACCTATTGTTACCTTTGCTTTACAAAAAGAGTGTCTGAAGTGCACAGTTTTAGTTAAATAAGAAAATGAGATATTCTGCTGTTATCTCCACAAAAAGTGAGCAGTTTTGGTTAAATACTTCACCAAGGCTGAGCAACAAGTGATCGCCACGACAGAGATCTCCTTCCTCATCCTCCTCCCAGGGAACTGGAAAGACCACGTCAAGGATTTGAGTTTTTCATAACAAAGGAATAAAAATTCTGGATATTTAGAAATGAAACCCCCAGTGTTGCGCTTTTTCGTTTCGTGTTTAGTCACTTTTTTTAATAATCAAACCAGATAAAATTACTAAAAATGAAATTCACAGACAAGAAATACTTTAATTAAATATTGTGTAAAATGAACATTTTTTTATACAGTTAAATATATGAAAAAAATGTACAGATAAAACAATCTTATTGTAGGGTCTTTAACAGTAAAATCTACCATTTAGTGAAGCTTTCCGTCTGGAGACAATGAAGCGATGAGTGCATTGACTAATTAATCTAAAACACAAACAGATTTCATTTATGAAGGAACTTGCAGACTTTCTTAACATGTACACGTGACCTCTTTTTTTTTTTATTATTTTTTTTCGAGCGAAACCTTACTTAGACAAAATATAACGGAGGCAATTCAGTTCCAAAGTGACTTCTCAGGCTTTCCCACTAAGCCAAGCCTTGGCCGTGCTCACAGAGCTGTGCTACGCTGAACCGTTCTTCTAAACCCTTGCAGAAAAGCTCGACTAAAATGTGCATTTTTTTTTTTTGCCCAGAAAGAGAAAAAAAAATTAAAAAAAAATAAAAATAAAAATAATAATAATACAAAAAATGATCCCTCCTTTTTTTTTGGCTAAAAAGGTGAATTCTGCTGCAGTTTGCAACGTGTTTCGCAGTGCTGCGCTGGCAAAGGATTTAGTGCAAAGTAAAAATAAAAAACAACTCCACGTTTGTCTCGCTGGATTTGGCACTGAGAGCCACGGAATATGACAGAGGTCATTCCAGTTTAAAAAGTACAGTCGGCTACGGGTCGATTACAAAAAGTTCCCTTAAAAAAAACCCCAAGAAATCTAAATAAACAACTCCCAGACATTAAAAATTCGGTGTGATCCTGATTTCCCGTGAAACCTTTCCCGGTTTTGAGCAGTGCAGGGTTTGGGAGAATGCAGAGTGCAGCAGAAAATCGACACATAAAGGAGTGGCAGAATTGTACACCAGGATTGTGCTTTTTTTTTCCCCTTATTTTTTTACACCAGAAATCACCCAAATGAAGTCGTGATTAACAATTGTGGTGTAAGCCTGTGATAAAACAGCACAAAAGTTCTTCAAAGAAGTTCACTTTTAAGGCATCAGAGAAGTTCATGTGGCAAACATTTTAATTAAAACATCAGAAGTGAATTTATTTTTAAACTTTAGGCCTCTGAATTTTTCCAGTAAACACAGTTCAGCTATGTGGCAAAGTCATGGGTGGCAGCTAAAAATGACTTTTTACAATCTTTAAAAAAAAAATTAAAAAAAAAATTAAAAAAGAAAACAAACAAACAAACAAAAAAAAAGAAATAAAAAATGCAACCACAAAATAGAGTCATCTTTTCTGTGGCTGTATCACATGCACATATTCTACTAGTATTCATTACAGCCATGTGGCACAATTTTGATTTGACTATACAACAAACGACTTTTTCTTTCAAAATTATTTGTTCTGATAACTTAAAAATAATATAAAAATAAACAATGAATTTGAATTTAAAAAAAAAAAATAAAAAAGAGAAGGATGGAAAGGCTAAACAATAGCAACCTTATGAAGTACAAATGAAATGCACGGACACTGATTTATTTAAAAGAAAAACATGAAGGCAACAGTTCTTGGCTTAATGCTATTTTCAGCATCACGATACCAGGCCAGGACAAAAACCAATACATAC